AAGAAACGATCACGAGGACCTTGAAAGCGAATGTTTGAATCCGTCATTTGTATGGAATCATTGCACCGGAAATGGACCAGTGAAGAGGCAGGTAACTTTAAACTGTGATAATCGTATTTCTAACGCTACGATACTTGGCAAACAGTAATTGGTTTGTCGATGATTACAGGAGAAACCGGACGTCCCTTTTGGCGATACAAGGATCATTAGGTGACACAAAAGGACGAGATTCACTTTGTAAAACAATATCCTATCAACGAGGACAGTGCAAACAGCATTTCGAGGGGATGAAGGAAAACAGTCTCGCGAAATCGAAACTCGTCGACTCCTCTGTGTTGAAACATTGACATTGAAATCGATGAAAATTTATACCGTTGCTTGCAAAAGTATTCAAACGTTTGTAGGAAATTTTGATGAGTATATCTCTCTTGTGTGTACTATATAAAACGTTTTGAAATTTCATTAACACTGTAATGAAATTCAACTGTGATGACTGATCAAGGTTGATACGAATCTAAAAATATATACAGAGTATTTAATAGAAGTGTATGTTTCACAAACATTACAAAAGTAACTTAAACATATTACGTTAATTACTGATTGTTCTCAAAATTACTTAAAATGATCATTTCTGCTGTACATTATTAAACTCTTTACTTTTATTTTAAATGTATCTTTAGTAATAATTGTTTTATTATTAATTTTAAATGTATGCTTCACGGTACTTCTGTACAGTTTTATACGAAGTTTCAGTTTGCTTTCAAATTTTTATCAATACAGCTATGACAGTGTTAATGAAATTTTATTAAAGAGACAAACGAAGCAGGTGCGAAAAATTACAATTCATTACTGATACGACTACAGACCACTAGATTTAAAAGCAGGTCATCACCGAATACCCAACGTGACTCGTCCATGTATTAAAATTCAACACACCAGTCTCCTTTCTGTCGCAGTCACGTAGATCCACGCGATCACTCGACGTTTCTCATCTCCATCGCGGTTAGAATACACCGCCCGAGAGAAGGAGAACCGTCGTAAGAAACAATTTGAAAAGAATTTAGAGACGCTCGGGATCGAGGGTCGATCTAGATCGAGCAGGCATTCAAGTTGATCGACCGGCGCTGACCCATCATATTCGGCTCGGAGAGGCTCGGAATCTTCGGGTCGATTTGGCCACAAATACGGCTTTAAC